TGTTTCTTGAAGAAAACTAACTGTAAATTCTTGTTTGGGACGGCTTGGGGTTTTGAGGCCCGGTTGGGCCAAACACGGGAAACCAGTTACATACTGGTCTCCTTTGAAGGATCAACTCTATGAGTGTACTTGTAGTTGGGGACCCCTTTGGTGAACACCATTTAGGTGGGGGTTTATGTCCACCTACCACCTTGGGGTTTCCTATTCAAGCTCACGGCCATTTAAGGATTGGTGGATTGAATCCCACCACGAGTAGAACTTGAGGGTTACCCAGGGAAAATACAACATCTGGGCCAAGTATCATAATTCGCACACCTGACAGAAGAGATTCCATAGCAAGCAACATTCCTCATGGGTGCGTTTGTTTTACCCCCAGGCAAGTTCGTTCTGATTGGCCCAGAAGGATCACTGTGTGTGTGTGTGTGCGCGTTTAATTGTGTGCAAGCCGTATGTCACATGTCGAAGTCAGAAATTGCACTTGGAGGGCCTCACGAAAACTTCACAACCCTTGGTATGGTTGCAAACAACCTTGATTTGTTGCAGTACTAAACATGAACAGAACCAAGAAAAAAACACGGGGAACAACAAAAAAACAACTTGAGGCAGACAAGTTGGCATTTGATCTAGGATATCGAGCCCAAGCATACAAGTTGCGGAAGCGCGATCCGGGGCAGGTATCACGTTTACATTGGGCGTGAATATTGAACTGGGCCAAAAAAGGACCGCCGTGTATGGACAAATCAATGTTTTTGTTGAATTGGGGCTTGGACCCCCTTTGTCGATTAGACCAAAAGAGGCGGTGGTATGGAGTAGCGCGATGTTGCTCGGACAACATAAGTCCTAAACGGACCATCGACGTTGGGGCAGTGCAAATATCCCGACCACCGGAACTGCTCAAACCGTCCCGTGAAGACCACAACAAGCCCGGCCAGGGCTGTGAGAAACGACCCATATAAAGGGGAAATGCTCTTGTATCACAGAAACGGGGATAAACCTCGAGTGACAAGCGTGAGCCCGTCTATTGGACCAAAGGAACTGTCCTGAGATCCCCTGCAAGTGACTCACTTGAGTGGTTTAAATTCGGAAATCCAACCACTGAAGAGATCTCAACAAATCTAAAAACCAAGAGGATGGCTGGGAGGCACTAAGGTAAAGAGGACCCAACAAAGGAGGGGGTAGCCTCAAAAACGGCAAAGCCATCTCTCGGTTGCTTTCTGCTCCCCTACTAAAAGTGAATAACTTTCAGTGGTTTATTGCGGAAAACCCATTCGTTGGCAAAAAGTTCTCAAGTCCTAACATCCCTTGGCAAGATGTTCACCAAAGATCTCTTCGAAGTCTAAGAAGCCGGATGGCTGCGAAAAGCTTACGTAGAAAGGCTGGGCATCCCAGCGCCAGGTGAAGCTTCGACCCTCCACCTGCACCACCTCAACCTCAGCTCGCTCAAAAATAAGATTCGCTGAGGCAGCCCAACACAAGGTTTCCAGGGGAAGGCAGGTTTAGGTCAATGTTTCCATTTGCCAGGGTTCCATTTTGGATACCTATTTTTGACCCACAGTCATGTGTCAAACCAAAGATGAGTGGTTACTCCTCACTTCCTGAGTGGATGGCCCAAAGGGTCCAAACTTGTTACTTGCCACTCAAATGGCCTTCCCAAGAAGTTAAAAGTCCAGGAACTGAGGAAGTGAGACTCTCTTGGGTATGTGCCAAAAGGGGGGGGAAGTTGGATGTTTTGCCTTTGCTCTCGCTTTAATAGGTGGCTGTGATACTACAAGGGCATTTGTCAAAAAGGTTCATCAATCAGCTTCAGTATCCAACGCAGACTTTTGAGGCAGCTTCTTCTTGAACTCCAAATCGGCACATAAATCTGGCATGCCATCACATTGGCACGGTTTCAAAACCGGACCTTTTCAGCTTCCCTCCAATGTGTGGTTTGGAGCCGAATCGGTGATTTGGTGGTTGAGTGGTGGTTTCCTCAACCAGAACGGGTTCAAATCCCCCCGAGCAGAAACCCAAGGGCCCAAATGGGTGTGTCTGTGGTTAGGGGACTCCCCTCCCCCGCAAAAAAAAAGGTGGTGCTCCTCTTGGCAGGGGGGTCTTTTTGCCACCTTTGGTCGAAAAATGATCCACCCCCTTGTAGTGAAGGATTCCTTTTTGAGGGGGCCGCCAATTTTCAAACACAAAAGGTGGCAAAAAGACCCCCCTGCCTCTTGGTTTCCAACATCAAGCCAACGAAATGATCCAATTCAATTCTCTATATACCCCACTTTGGTCATTGTCTTATGGAGCCGTGCAAATTGTAGGTCCACCGCGGCCATCGAGCTCCATGAGCCACCGCTCGCTTTTCCAGCCAAATGACAAACATCGCCCTGTCCATGGCATCATCGCAACGTACATCAGGTCCCCAAAGTTAAAGCCAAGCCAACAAAGAGCAGTGAGAAGCTACTGTGGATGGACAAAATCCTGCACCACCTAAGAAACCCTGAAGAATGAGGATCCCCCTGTAAATACCATCAACTTATTGTTTCACATGGTTTGAAAGTGGTGCGAAATGGATTTCGTCCATCCACAGTATGTTCAGACGCTGTGTCATAGTTGGTCGGTTTGACTTCAAGGCGCTTAACCTAAACGAGACCGCGCACGGCCCGTCGCCCGCTCGCTCGCTCTCCTGGGTCCTGGCGTCGTAGGCTTCACCCCAGTTGGCGCCGCAGCGTTCCAAGTAAGCACCAAGGCTGGTACCTGCGGCCAGCCAAAGGAAACTCCCCTAAAATCTGGGCTGTCCTCAGATCCCCTGCTGAAAGTTTAACTTTCAGTGGGTTAAATTGAACCCCCCACTAAACACTAAAAAGCTAAACAGCTAAGGGGACTGCTGGGAACCGCCAAGAGATGAGGTCCAAGAGAATCTGGAGAAGCCCCCGCTCCCTGTTTCCTTTCGAGTCAACTCACCCCAAAAGGAAACTCTTTTCGATGCTTCCAGTTGCTTAAGCCCCCTGGAAAAAATACAAATATTTTCAGTAGTGATCGATTCCTTTTAAAACCAACAGGGGAACATACAACATATTCTTGAACAAATGGAAGGATTGGAGTGGTCACTGGATCTCCAGATGGACCTCAGAAATGAGTTGCCTGGCTCAGGGGGCCCTCAACCAGGCATCGGGCCGTGGGTCGCTTGGAAATTGGCCGGACATATATCGGGCACCCGAAAATTTGGATATGACTGGGCTGTCTGTTTCCGGATTTCCCGCTAAAAGTGACTCACTTGAAGTGGTTGGAATGGAACCCCCCACTCAACCACCAGCTAAGAAGCTAAGAAGCCTGATGGCTGGAAGCCACGATGAATGGGAGACCAATTAAGAGCCCATCGTTGGGAGCGAGGCGAGGATGTGATGGAGTCTCCTTTTGCCATTCATGGACAAGACAATTGTTTTCAACAGGTCTAAGAGGTTGAAGTCACACCAAACACAGGCCACGTGCCCAAGCGACATCCAAACGCACCTCTGACTCATCCAGCGACTCTTCGCATAGACGATGTTCAGGGGACCGTACGCAAACCACAAAAAAGGCCTGTCAAAAGTCATCATGGGTGAGTTGTGTTGGCAATCCGCATGTACCTGTGTATGTATGTCTATGTGGAGTGTACATAGGCATTATACATTGGCTTCCTTTTCAAAAGGAAGGGGTTGCCCAAAAACCGCTGCTCAAAAACGCTTGCCCAAGAAGCAGTCCATTTCACCCCCTGCTCCAAATACCAACACCGTTTTGATACCCCATAACATCAGTGAATCTGTATTTATCCATGAAAAGCCTGGTTTTTCAGAAATAACCGAAACACAAACTCACAAAAATAAGAAACACAAAAACAAAACGGTATCTGGAGTAGGGGGGAACACCAAAAGGGGAAATCCCCCCAAATCGAAACCGCAGCCTTTTAGCCCAATCCACCCGAGTTCGAGTCCGATTTCTCGGCCTTGTGGGGCCGCGGAAAAGTGGCGCCGACCTCGGCCGTCTGAGTTGTCCGTAACCCTCTGGCTCAAGCCCTTTCGCTCATGCAGGTATTTGTTGGTTACAGTAGTTGGGGCTCTTACTATTGTCGGGGCTATCTCTCTTTTGGTTATTTGGTACGAAGCTGGTGTGTGTGGACTTTGAAGGGAAACCGAAGCTCACTTCCCGAGCAGATTGGAGGTTTAAAAGGCCCCAAACTTTCTGTTTGCCCCTATGGTCTGCCCCAAATGTTTAACAGGGTTCCTTACATTATACACCTGAACATTGCAACTTGTAAATGCTGGTGTCCCTGTATTTTGGTGTTAAAAAAGCCACATGTTTCAAATGGTTGCAAAATGGAGATCTTTTAAGGAGCCCTGTTTACATTCCAGGAACTTAGCCCTAGGGTTCAGCCCCCATTAAAAGAATGGTTGACCCAATTTGGATGATTGTCAGGCCCACAACCCTACGGGTCGAGACGTGTGTCGAGATACCAAAAAAAATGCGCGTAGCCATGAAAAGCAAGCATGCGTATTGGTATTTTTCAAAAAGAAAACATGAGTGGCTTCTCTCTTGGATATGTGTCAAGATAAGACCTGACTCATGTTTAGCTAAAGTGCGGCCCTGCGCCATCTTAAGCCTTTCGCTATTTAGGAGAGTCGCTATTTGGGTGTGGGACTGTTTAATGGACATCATTTAGGTGGCGATTCATTTGCGCCAATCAGGTTCCCATTCAAATTCCACTTGCAAAAATGGCTGAACGAAGCATACATTCCACAAAAAAAAGAGCTGCCGACGAGGGAACCTTTCACCTCACTTCCTAAGTGGTTTAACCAGACTAGTTCAAACTTGTGTTCACAACTAGAATGTTCATACCAACAAGCTTAAAGTCCAGGAACACAGGAAGTGAGCAACCACGGGAACGATTGCAAACCAAAACAACAAAGGCGAACGCTAGGGTACCTGCCGCCTGCTTTGAGCTCCACGCCAAGCATTGGTTCTACACGTCCCGCGCCGCTTTTCCGCTCCGCGGGGCGCCGCTGAACTCTGCTCCGCGGATCGTGGCCGTTGCTTTGGGCAGCTGTTCACCAGTGGAAGTCCATTGCCTTCGGAGCAACTCTCTGGGCAGTTCTCTTTGGTAACTGGTGTCCCATATTGATAACCTCACTATGGTTAACTGGTTCCCATTTGGAGTTTGGTTCTCAGTAACACTCTTTGGGGAAGGTGTCCTTTTTGGTCGTTGATTTTTTGAGCACCAAGCCGCAGGGACGGTTCTCTTCACCTGGGGCAGTTCCCTTCATGCACCTTTCTGGGGGGTGATTCCAACCATTCTTTTCAACCCTCGTTCTTTTCAAAAACCGATCGCTGTTTCCCTGGGTTTTTCATGGTTTCTTGACAAGAAAGAAGGATGCCTGGAAAGAATGGACATGGAAGGTAGCCCTAGAAACTCATGTCCAATGCCGAATCCTGAATTGGGGAATTGCAGGAGGGGAATGAACTGCATCTCTAGGGAGTCACTTCTTCTAAAAAAGGTCCTAAAAAGCACAAGCCTGAACAATCACGTGGAATGTTGGGCGTGCATGTTGAAGCAATATTACGTTGCATGTCCCACTCGCCAGCCTGAAAGTGTGAAAACTTTAGATCGGGGAGTGTCACGCATAACAATTCTCTACATGTGATCGTCATGACTGCTGATGTTCAAGCATGCTGTGCAGCGATCGTTTGATCGTTTCCACGTTGGAGGCCTCTCTCTCTCTCTCTCAAGTGCGAGCGACGTAATGCACATTCAGACCTCCAGCAGCTAGGCAGCACAAAAGGAGCACCGAGCTGACTGAGTCGGACAGCCCCAAGAAGAAGGTGTTGAGCAAAAACAAACGCGGAGCCGTTCGAAACGGCCCGTCCCTTAAGAAAGGGCCTCAAACATATGACGGTGGTGAACCCCAAGAAGGCAATTCTCAACTCAGGCCTTGGGCTCCTGGGCCTCTCCCGGCCCAAAAGCGATTCGAAGATCGGGGCTCTAGAAGCCTCGGCCAGTCGCACGATACACCGATGTTCTGCTCCTTTAGGTGTGGCAATCAGAGTAGGGAATCGGGAATCCTTAAAATGGGTCGCCTAAATGGAAAAGTCGAGTCCTACACTTTCTGGGTGTTTCCATTTTGGGTCGAAAGTCGACTCTTGAAATGGGTTTCAAAAGTGGACCCACCTGCGGTTTGGCTCGGCAAAGAACTTGGAGCACCCACAAAACAAACCCGGCCCTATATGAGACATAATGAAAACCTGGTACAAAAATGGTCAACCCAGGAGCACTGGTTCCCCACAGCTCCAGAACCCAAATTCTAAGGTCTCTCCGAGTCAAATTTGGAACTAGCAGGGGTTGGTGAAAATTCGAATGCTTTGGACATCCAAACTGGCGGCTTTCCTTTTGGGCTTCCGTTAAAGCCATTAACAAAAAGGGATACCCAGAAACAACAAACACGCACTGGGGAGTCCGAAAAGGGACCCAGCATTCTTTAATCCCTGCCATCCAACGGCAGGTATGAGTTGTGGAGGTGCCTTGTAAGACATAGGTATCATGCCTGAAAATTGAATATTCCAGCCTGACACAAGGCACACGCTTCATTACTCCATGGAAATATACACATATGCGTGTATATATGGTGTATATATATATATAAACACATTTTTCAGCGGGTCAAAATAGGTACCCAAAATGGAACCCAGGTAAATGGAACCCAGAACGAAAACCTGGGGTCCAATCTCTGGTGGTATCATTTCAACCCATACCCATATATAAATGACAAATACCAACGATACCAACATTTGACTCATGTGGAGGGTCAATGCGGGCAACAAATCCAACTTGACCAACCCCGAGCCCTTAAGTTGGCAAAGGGACGCCAGGGCAACCCAGAAGAGAAGTGGCGTTGGGTTGCTCAAATACCGAGCCCCGAAATATTATTGAACTTATGCAAAGTTAGGAGACTGTACATTTCCCAAGAGCAGCTTCTTTCTGGTGCGCCAAAGAGCAACCGAGTTTTATTGGGTGTTCTTTGGAGTTGGTAGTCCTGTGTCTTTGTTTAGGAGACCAAGGGGAGAACCCCCTCCCCCCAAAAACAACAACAAAACAAAACATGGGGTCAAAATCCTAACAAACAAGCCACCTATGGATAACGCCAGAAAGTTGTCGCATGGTCGCCCCAAGCTCTGCTGCCCATCGACCAAATTACGATTTAGGTTGCTGGTCCATACCTGGATTTCCCCGTTGCAGTTTGCTGGTTTCCACGAGCGCCAATTCGGCTCGGAAACCCTTCAAAAGAATGACATGTCAAACAATCATCCTAACCTCACTTGACTCACTTCCCGAGTGGACTGGCCAAAAAAAGTCCGCAAACTGCTTGTTTGCCACTAACATGGTCTTCCCCCCCCCCAACAAAAAAAAAGCAAATCCATGAGCTCAGGGAGTGAGGAACGGGGTGTTTCAACCGTCCGGTCCGAGTGCCTGGCGTCGGACGTCAGCCTGGCAGGAGATGCTGCCTCCAGCGCGCCGCCCAATAGTCCACCTTCCTGGAAGCCATTTTTCTTCAGAAGCCCAACCGCCTCTTGGAACTTGGGAGCTTGGACATGGCTCAATTTGTTTCGGAGATTTCGAGCGGCCCTCGAATTGGTGGGTCTGATGATGAAGGTACTCGTCTTGGCTAGACAAGATCATGAATCTACCAACAAAGGGGTGTGGGAAAACTACAAGTGCCCAGTGTGTTTGCTTTTTTTCTTTTTCCCAAAAACAAGTCGAGGAATCCTTTTGATATACCAAGCAACATCAGCCAGATGGGTTCCAGTGCGGCAGTTGGTCATTTCTTACCCTCGACGGCAGCCCACAGAAGCACTGCCCCCCAAGACACCTACAAGTTACGTTCCTTCGAGTCGCAAAAGGGGCGCAATGGGCCTAGCCGTCTTTCTGGACCTGACTCCCTTCATCTCCGTTCCAACTTCGCACCTCCTTGCATCTGAAGGTCGAGAAACCATGTAAAAATATATTAATTGGCTTCCCTCCAATTGTGGTTTGGAGTGGTAGTTTGGTGAGGGGGGGTTTCCCGTTTAGCCTCACACAAGGCAGGGGTTCAAATTCCCAAACCACCAATCCAAACCACCAACTAAGGGTTACCTGAAACAAAAACACAAGACATGCAAACAAAGCAACACATTTTTCCAGGTTAGCCTGATTTAATATAGATGGCACCGGTGTCAGAGTGGTTCTAATAATTTGCAGGTTGGTACTAGCTGCTTCATCGTTGCACCCACAGCCATAAACAGTGGATGCCTTGCCAAAGCGGCAAACATGTCCCCTTGACTGTGGTACTTCGAATGGTCAGTTGACCAACACGAAACCCTTAATTAACATGGGCCCAGCATCACAAATTGAGTGGAACATGTAGGCCACTGAGTACTATTTCAGGGAACCAGATCTCCTCATTTACATATCACTTCCCGGGAATTGGACATTGAACCTGCAAAAGAGATCACATTCCGGAACTGAGCGCATTTGTTTCACACGCCCGAAAGCAGAACCAGCGCCAGGAGAAACAATAAAAACACACACACAGTGTTTTGTTTCCTTCCTGACCAGCAGCAGCCTTAAACCTAGTCTCGAGCTGTTGCTTTCGTTCTGGCCTGCGCCAGTTTCTGTGGGCTGTCCGTTTTCAGATCGCCTGCTAAAAGCTTAACTTTTCGTGGGCTAAATGGACACTACCACCAAATTAACCAAAAACAACTACAAACCTAAGGCACCGGACGATTCGCTGGGAACCAGCAAGGTGTGTGGTTTGCTTTGGTGATCTCTTCGTGTTACTGTTCCGAAAGCTTGCAAGGCTCTAGGGGTTGATCCCCCATTCTTTTCAACCATCGTTCTTTTCAAAAACCGATTGCCGTGTTTTCTGGGTTTCCGAAGGTTTTTTTTTACAAAAATCGGATCCCTGAAAAGAATGGAAATGGAAGGTATCCCTAGAAAAGCAATGGCATGTCCATCCTTCGTTTGGCGAATGCAAGTTGCTGCCATCAGAGCACGGAGTTCCAAAGGCCACTTGCACTGACTGTCTTTTTTGGGGAACCCTTGTTGGGGTTGGTTTGAAAGGACACCAAAAGAAAAACAATGAACTTGCGGGGGTCCCCTATTTTGAGACAAATTCATATTTGTATGGCTCTCCAAAAAGTGCATGGTCAGCGGCACAAAGACCAGTCTGGGCTTGAGCATGTGTAACTCCAAGGTGATTCTCTGAAAGATACGCATAGTCCCATTCAGACAATGTTGAAATAACGAGCAAGAGTGCAATGTTTGACTCTCAGCTTGTCCAGGACTTGTTTGTTCTCTGCAAGCGTGGCTGGGCTCCGAGTCATTTCTTCTGCCTCACGTGCACGCCGAAGTCGTGCTTGAGCAAGTTCATTCTCCTCAGTTGTTCAGTGACCCTGGAAAAAAAAGGGAACCCTTTTTGGGGCTTGGACCATTTTTAGTGGGGCAGCCACCCAAAAAACAAAAAAAACAAGGAACAACAAACACCATTTTTAGTGGGGCAGCCACCCAAAAAATAGGGAAAACAATTGGTGCCACTGAACAACTGAGTCTCAGAATGAGCGCATGGGTGCTCTCCAGGAAGTCCCCGCTCACGCGCAGAGCCTTGAGATACGTTGACTGCCGCTGGTCGGCATGGCCTTGCTTGACGTTGGGTTTGGGGAGCAAAAATTATCGAAACAAATTAGCAGTCTTCCATTTGCTTAAGCCCTCGGGAAAAATCAGAATATTTTCAGTAGTGATAGATTCCCGTTAAACCAACAAGCGAAAATAATAATTGAAAAAACGAAAACAACCGTAAGAAAATGGAAGCAGTTAAGTGGTTGGATTTCAACCACGAAACCACAAGAAGCCAAAATGTAAAATGTTTCCCAACAACAACCATGGGGCTGGCTTGCAATATTTTCCTTTCTGAGTCGATCTTAGCATCCAGTTGTCGCTGGCCGATCAATTTGGCCAACTCCCGCTGCATAGACTCCACGTCCGTGTTGAAAGCGTCGGCCATCCGGTGCAAAGACACCGATAGAAAGGGTGCAAAGTATTGAACAATCCCCTTGCTTCTGATCTGCTCGCATAGGTTGGCCACCTGACCATGCAGATGGACATCCAAGCAAAGCGCCTCCTGAAGTCGTTCAAGGGACGCCAAGCAAGCCGCATACCTGCAGCTGCAGAAGTCCAGGGCCAGCTCGCGGATCTGCGGCGCCATGTCCAAGCTCTCACGGAAGGTCTGAGACTCTAGGAGCTTCAGCACCTCTGCGCGGTCCAGCGAGCCGAGAGCACAAAGTACGCCGTACAGGGCCACGTCCTGGGCATAGGCTAATAGGTGGCCTTTTGGAAAATATAGACGGATTTCCCTGGGAAATGGCTCATAAACCCCATCTAAACCAGTGGAACCCATCTATTTGTTTAACCAAACTAACCTAAACAGTACACGTGTGCTTGTGCTTTTGGACAAAAGTCAACTTTTTGTTTTATTTGACAAACAGGTCAGTAATAGATACATGTGTCCTGGGGGCTCAGCATGTCCGCAAAGGCAGTGCCAAGGTCTTGCGGCTTGACCTGTGAGAAGCTGATCGCCGCATCCTTGTACTTGCCGCTGGCCATGTTGCACAAGCCATATGAGGCGAAGATCTTGGACTGGCTGGAGTCATCCTTACCTCAGATGCCCAGTGGATTTCCATGGGAAAAAAAGAATCGGCATCCTTTTACTGGTTGGTTGACTTCAAAGGGGACCCCTTCCCAAAAAAAGGAGAAAACAAAGGCGGAATCCACTACTTTAAAGGGAACCCCTTCCCAAAACAAAAAGGAAAAGGGGGCGGAATCTTCTGGGCAACTGGGTTACAGGGAGTGTGGTGCGCTTTGCTCGCGAAGCTCTGGATGTCGCCGTACTGCCGCTGCAACGCCCTGAGACGGATGATGCTCATGCAGGTGGCGAAGACGGACTGCGGCTCCGTGCAGAACTCGCGGCTCTTGGCCTCGGTTGGTCAGTGACCCTGGGAAAAAAGGGAACCCTTCTTGGGGCTTGGACCATTTTTAGTGGGGCAGCCACCCAAAAAAGACAAAAGGGAAAATACAATTTTTGGTGGGGCAGCTACCCAAAAAAAGTTGGAAAACGAATTGGTGCCACTGAACAACTGAGTTGCCAAGTACTTCTCTGCGCCAGCATAGTCCCCTTGCTCCAGGCAAAGGTTGGCGAGCTGGTGGTAGCACGTGCGGATGCTGTCCTTCATGTGGGACACTTTGGCTTGGCCCAAGTCCTGCTCGTAAAGGTCCTTGAGGATGCCGTTTTGCTTCTGCGTGGCATCCACCCAAACCTGGTCGTAGGCTGGCAACGCGGACTCGCTGCCTTCCAGCAGCTCCTTGAGGGCGTTGTGTACTTCGATGTAGCCTCAGTTGTTCAGTGACCCTGGAAAAAAAAGGGAACCCTTTTTTTCGGAAGACCATTTTAGTGGGGCAGCCACCAAAAAAAAGGGGGAAAAAGGGGGCCACTGAACAACTGAGTAGCCTTTGCAATTCGTGGTCCGCTTCAGCAGGTCCAAGCAAAGCTTCAACGCCTCGATCTTGAGGTTGCTCTTGGGCGTCTGCAAAGTGATGAACTGCAGCCGCTGAATGGCGCCGTGCGTGCCGTACTGCCCGCTGTACGCTTCCAGGTCTTCGGTCAGCAGAGATGCAGCCATGGAGATGTCACCAGGCCAAAGCTACTAGACTTTTGACTTTGAGCCACACGCAAAATGGTTTTTGTCCTTGTCTAAAGGGGACCGCCCCGCCTTTTGGCTCCCTGTAAAACCAACCCCAAAAAGGGTACCCTCACAAAAACAAACAGACCCTCCATTTGCTTAGATCCCCTGAACAAAACTGCAACATATTTCCAGTAGTGAAGTCGATTCCCAACCGGGGAAAAACACAAATCTTCAATTAAGCAAATGGATTAGTGTTTGTGGATTTTTAACGGGAAACCAAACCGACCATGCACCTTGTTGCGGGGTGCTCCAAAAAACGGACACACCCGTACGGGTATGTGCAAAAAACAACAAAAAACATGTGGCATTCAAAAACAAGACCCAAATGGTTGTCGTCTAGTTCCTCCACTAGAGAGGTTAGAATCAGGGTACCCTTTTTCTGTAGTCTATTTTAGTAGGGGAACCCTCCCAACCAAACAAGGGGAGAGAAAGGGCACCTAGCTGGGGGACCTAGTTGTAGCAACCGAGTTGCAGCTGGCGCTGATCCACCGCGGCAGGACCCCGCAGAATTTCCGCCAGGGTCTCGGCTGAGAGCTCCGCGGCTCCCGCGATGCGCCGGATACGCGCCGCGTCGTAGATGCCTCGGGGCTTTCCGGCGGCTTCCGATCGAGTGGATCCAACAAATATCACCAGGAACCTGTTTTTAGTCTACCACCAAAATGGTCCAAACCCAAAAAGGGACTGGAAGTCCTTTTTTAATCCCAAAATGGTTGGCCAATCCAAAAGGTCCAAACTTTGGGATTCATCTCACCAGGAACCGTATTTTTTTAAATCACCAGGACAACTCCAAACCCAAAATGGCAACCAAACCCCAAAAAAGTGACCGGAAGTCACTAAGTCGGCACCCGGGAAGTGGGGATCGGTCTTGGAGATTGGCATGCCCCTAACAACTCCGATCGGCAGCTTCGCAAGGCGAAGCTTCTTGAAAAACCATTTTGGATACCCCCGGTTCCGCAACACCTCCCAGGTCGTTAGAACAAGTTGGTACCCGATTTTTTTTCTGCAGTCTATCTTAGTAGGGGAACCCCCCCAAAAAAAAAAGAGAGTAAAAGGGCACTACTGGGGGACCTAGCCTCAAACACCAGCTAAGGGTCTGGGCGGTTTGGAGAGGATTGATGCTCTGAATTGCTGGGTTCTTCGGAAATCATCAGAAGGTTCGGGGGAATCAACCCAAATAACCTTACATGAAGCTTCCAAGGGGAGCTGAATTGGGGTCTTTCCTCATCAGTCTTGTAATGGCATGTGGGTATGTGTGAAAATGGAGGACTTCGAGTATGGCCGTGTCAAGTTTGGAAAAGGCATGACAGATTCCAAAAGAGGGGGATTGCACTGCAAGCCAAACTCAAATTGCCCAAAGCAACCAGAAACAACATTTTAAATGGTTCACCTTTTGGGGGCATGACAATTTGTTGCAGACCAATATGGGCAACCCAAAAGCAATTTGGGCTCAAAGGTTCGATTCGCTCTGGGCAACGCAACAAAAACATGTGGGCTTTGCTTTGAATAAAGAACACCCAGAAAGGGTACGTCACAAAATTCACAAGTCACCGAATTCAGTTTGCCAAGGGACCAACAGCCTAAGGTGAGCACAACCTAGGGACGTCAGTACTTCAGTTTAGAGCCAAGGGACCGACAGCCTTAACATCTCTACTCTTGGTATGGGCTGGCAAAAAACTGACTGTTTTTTGCAGACCCCGGTAAAAATGAACAGAACCAAAAAACTGAAAACCCAAAAAAACATGATCCAAGAACAGTGAAGTTAAGGTGACAAAAGAGCGGCCACAGAACTCCCGTGCCATGGCGCGAGGGTCAAAGGTCTTGCTCTCGGCAACCAAGGGCATGGAGCCTCAGGTTGTGATCAGAACGGCTCGTCTTTTTTAGGAGTTGCTACTCCTGTTTGGTGGGGTTTGAAGGGAAACCAAGAGGGAAAACACTCATTTTGGGGGGGGTTTACAACAGACACACCCATTTGAGCGGTTGATGGAAAAATGGGGCCCCAGGACCCTGCTTTGTGGACAAGATGCGGTTCCAAGGTTGTCTCTCCCCAAACTAACACTAGCCTGTCCGTTGTATCCCTGCAAGCAGCGCGCACCAGGCATAGCAAAGAGGTACCTCCCTTGGCATTCCCAAGAATTGGCCCAGGCTCACGTTAACCATCTCTGTCCCTGGATTGTCCCAAGGTAAACCCTGGGCTACGCCATGATGTTGCTTTTTTCAAGGCACAGGGAGAGGGCAGGGAGCCGAAATAAGCCCTGAATGGGACTTATGGAGGGACTATTTGGGCTCCCCCCAACCCTCCATGAAGTACTCATCATGGTTTCCATTAAAACAACACTGAATCCTTCACTGGTCGTGGGCCATGGACCCTCGCGGATTCTTGGCGAAAATGATCAACCCTTAAAGGGTTGATGACAAACACCGTGGGGCCAAACATCGTATCCAATTTCCCCGGCCCGGGTTTGATACACCGACACCTTTGAAGTGCATTTTGTCGCCCGATCCGTGAGGGATGTGAGTTGTATCTATCCGTACCCGAGGCATGTGAAAGGTCTACAGTGAATGGACATGAGGGGCCATGCCCATGATCCATGCCATGCAATAGCATCGAGAAGGGAATGTCCAAGGACAGATCAAAACAAAAACTAAAACTAAGCCCACCTGGGCGATTGCCATCATTCACAGACCGAAAACAAAACCTGACAGTCATAACTCAGCCCGTTTCACCCCGAATCGGTGAACAGAAACTGCGCTCATGGCAATTCGCCCAGCTTCCAGCATCCAGAGGGAAACCCTGGGTGCCCCAGGAAATATTGGTCTGTGTCACGGGTCAATCCGGAGAATCGCAGCTGTTCTTCCCAACCCAAAAAACACACACGGCGAGAAGCAAGCAAACCACCACGTGCACGTAACAAACAGTGCCATGGTTTTTTTTTGCCAGGTCAGCATCCAGATCGAAACATACATCCTCTTTGGCTTCCGATCCAACTCAATCCCTCCGCTCGATGCTCAGGCCCGCCGGATCCGAAGTCCGGTGCTTCCCCTAGTGCTTGGGATTCGGACCACTTTTCGGGGGGTGTTCCCCCCCTAGTGGGGCGGGTTGATTCATGGGTCAACATTCTGTTGCTCACATCTGCAGAACAGCACGCCAACACGCCTAAGCCACGTTGCAACCGAAGGCTTCTGCGTAATCTGTGCCTGTTGGTCCACGATATCGGGTATGCAAATGTAGATAGAAATCCCGTAAAGGCGGGTGCCTAGTGTATGTATGACCTATTATGTATGTATATATATATATATATATATGTACGCACATGGTTGCATTTATGTGCGCAAAATGAATATGTGCATGCATACACATCAATTATGTATAAACATATCAGATACACATGATGTTGTATATATTATATATATACTATGGAAGTACACACACCTTCAAACTATTTAAATATATTTAGAACACATTTCTTAACCTCCCGTGCTCCACGTGGCTTTGCGGCTTTACTCATTGCAACCAACCCCTCTCGCCCGAACTCGGAGCTCAGATCGAGCCGAGAGGCCCACAGCCAGAGCTTCCCAGGTGCGGGTGCAGTCGAAGCCTTTCCCAGGGGGCGACAGCACGAAGCGGTGCCCTCGGATGACGGAGCTGCGAAACACAAATGGCTGTGGTTGTCAAAAATATGGTAACCCCAAAATGGAACTCTGGTAAATGGAAACATGGGCTAAAACCTGCGGTCCAATTCCTGGTGGATTAATTTTGACCCATACCCAAACGACACACGGCGCGGCCCTTGTTAGAAAGGGCTGAAGGGGCTGAAGCAAAAAGGGGCTGAAACAAAGAGTGTAACCTTTGCTGGTTGGTGTTTTAAGGGACACCTCTTTCCCATAATCACCATGTCCGGGGGCTTGCCCGGAACACAACAGACCGACATGTTGCTGGGAAGAGAAAATGATGGAACACCTGAAATGAAGAGAATGGAGTGGTAGGCGAAATACCGGAGCGCTGACCCCTTTTGCCCTCGGACTTTAGGGGTGGGGAGGGGGAGGGGCGGGCTATCTCTGGATAAGCTTAGGCTTAGGATAAGTCGGGATCAATGCCTAATAAGTCTTCGCAGTATCAAGGGTGTAACTCAGTTTCCCTTCGGAACTTTCTGTCCAAGGCTCGCGCCAGCTTCTCCACATACTGCGGGAAAGCCAGGCGGTCTTTCCTGAAACTGCTGCGTGTTACGCAACCCCCGTAAACCGGTACCCTGAAAACAATACACACCCACATGGAAGTGTCTTTTTTGGAAGGCTGTTTGGGGGAACAGAAAGGGACACCTCCATTCTTGGGCCACTCAGACGGTTGCTCTAAAACGGACACACCCACTGCAAGCACAAAACGTGCTGGCAGCAATCGAATGAGTGGACATCGGTTGTGAATGCAATAGCACAATACAGCAGGCGGTGCAAGACTTTTCCCTGAAGGTTCTAGTCTTGTAAACACCAGGCGTGAGCCAATGGCCCACAGAATCACGCATGAGTGGATATTCTGAATCAAAAACTGGGAACAAGAAACAGGGGGGCCGAATAAATCTAGTCTGGCTCCTCTCTGCTGGTTGCCTAGATTCATCAGGACCACCAAATCCTTGTACTCTTCAGACTCCAGCACGTTCCTGCCAGACAAAAAAGGAAAACGGTGTGGTCAAGCATTGAAAGGCAATCCAACACCCCATTCAATGCGCCGAAAAGAAAAGAACAGTAAGTGGAAAGGAGTGAGCCCTGACAAAGTAGCTGTGCGATTCAGGTGTGTCTGGAATGAGCCAAAAGATGCCCGGCCCGGCCCGTCACTGCTCTCCGGCAAACTTGAGAAGCTCAAGGCGAGACCTTCTTTCCAGGGGTGCCAAGGTACATACCCCTTTTACATACCCCTTGGACAAATGAACCCAAAAGGCCTGCTGATGTTCATATCCCTCTCCCCGGAGGATAAACCTCTTATAAAGTGGGTTGGAAACCACAGAAGCCAAGGGGTATGACAAGGGGTATGTACTTCCACCCTTAGATTCTTAAGCCACGGACAACATGCTTCCCCCCTGAAAATCAGGAAAATTGGGTTGGCCCGATTGCAGCCCTGTTTTGGCTTGCGGCCCATGGCCTGTAAGAAGACCAGGGATATCCTCATAGCCATGCTATGATTTCAATCAGGAACCCCCTGAAAAGTGTGCCCAGATGTTCGCCAACAAACATACTAACAGCGTATGAACTCTTGTTGAATCAAATGCGAGACTCGAAATTCGGGTGGTTCTGAACCCAACTCAGAAGAAACCCTGTTGGAAGATGCTGGTTGGGTTGAAGTGTTGAACCCCAAAGCGATTGCCCGTGGGGCAGGTAAATCGAATCTCAGCTGGCAGAACTTTCATGACTCACCAATGCTCAGATGCCCAGTGGCCATGGGCAAAAAGGGGCATCCTTTCTTGGTTGGTTGACTTTTTAAAGGGCACCCATGCCCCAAACAAATGAAAACAGGGCGCCACCGGGCAACTGGGGATGGAACAACCAAATCATCCCCAGGAGCCCGAGTTGCAGCCCGAACAAGTTGTTGCTACCCTGATAAAAAAAACACGGGGCAATAGGCGAAATTCGGGTTGGTGGTGATTGCGGTACCTGCGGGTTGATCCCTCTGTCCCCCAAGCTTGCCAAGATGGAACCCCCCGATGAACATCCAAACCATGCTTCGTGCGATAGCCCACCACCCGAGAAAAAATAATCGCATCCCCAAGTGGGGACCTCCATCACAGTGAGCTTCTTTGATGTTGACCAATTAATCAACCCCAGTTTATGAATAAGGGGGGTGGGGTCCCCTGCAAAAGTGATGGTTCTGCACGAAACACCCAGAGAAAAGTACCCCCCAAGAATAAACTGGGGTTGATCAAATATCTGGGCTGGAATTAGGACCCCAGCAAAAAAAATACTTGTTTGTTGCCTGGGTAGCGGAAAACAAAGGGAACCCCAAACACGCAAACAAAAAGGCGAACTAATTCTGGGGAAGATATGGGGTCAGCATTACGTGTGCAACCCACCGTTCAACTCTCTCCACGCCCAGGCGTCCAGTACCCACGCCGCATCTTCTGGCCGTTCTTCATGCGCATCCAGGGCACCAACAGCCGGCAGTCCCGGTCTGAGGCGAATTGGCCTTGGAGCAACGCCTGCGAGTCGTCGGTCGCGAGCTGGCCATATGGGAGCTCTGGAGGAGGTTTGAAGGACTAACCAGAGTGTGGGGCTGTGGGGCAACATGAAGTCTTGGTGTCCAACATAGGGAGTGGAATACAACAGAACAGGAAGCACGAACATGAAGAAGGTGGATGCAACAAAAGACGATCGGTCTGCGTCAAAACAGAAGGACCCCGTAACATGGTGGTCCCTTTCAACAAACCTTTAAAGGGTACCCTCGAAACACTCGCCACCCGCTGGGTCTGAGGCAGGCCTTCCTTTTAAAGCTCTTGACTCACTTGCTAAAATGATGAGGAAAAAAACATTTGGACCCTTGACTCACTTCCTGAGTTGATGAGCCCAGACAAGCCCAAACTTTGTGTTCACTACTCGAATGTTCATACCAACAAGCTTAACAGGGGTCCTTACATTATACACCTGAACATTGCCTTGTAAATGGTGGTTTCCCTTTATTTTGGTGGAAAAAGCCATGTTTCAAATGGGCAAAATGTATCTTTTAAGGAGCCCTGCCTGTGTTGAGGGGAGAGCACAGCGCCAGAAGGCTGTCTGGAACTCGGGTGGTTCTTGTCACAGCTGGAGTTCTCATGGGTAAGATGCTGCACAAGCGTCTTGATCATTCCTTTCCCAGCGTTACTCCCTTATTGCCCCCCCGGGTGAAACAAAACAACACATCCATCCGTGTGAAACGCGGAGCATTCGGGAATGGGCAAATGATTGGTCAACTCAAACCCAGGTCTAAAGATCTCAAGGGCAAGTTGGGTCTAATAAAAAAAACCCGCCACGAAAAGGACAAAGCCGCCACCAGCAAGAAATGCGACCGCACGCCTCGTTCTGAGCATTGAGGCGCATGGAATAGAAGCCCACCGGCAACGGGTGAAACACGTCCTGAGCAGAAAGTAGACGCCACTATTCATAGGCGGCCTTTTGGAAAAATCGATGGCCCTGGTAGATGATGAAACCACCGATTTGGTAAACCAGGAATCGCCCTCTATTTTTCGACCAAAACAACCAAACAGGACACCTATGTGCCACTCTTCTCTTGTCCGTTACAATGGGGCCTAGGCATAGGGGAGGGGAGGATTAGCTCTCAAAAAAGCCCTCAATAAAGCCCCTACTTGTTTCGGCTTCTTGGGGTTCCCTCCTTTTCAAAACCTCTTCCTCCCGCTTCTGAAGGCCTCATAGGATGAACATGGAATGAACCTTTCACCCAACCTTCAGAAACTTTGAAGCCTCTCGAGCCATCTATGTTTACTCAACCACAGGCTTGTTTTCCTCATGTTTAAATGTGTATTTATATGTGTCAGGGTTGTGGTTGATCACTCGGGGTTTCTCCAACCACTTCTGTGATACAAGTTGGAATCTCCCCCTTTTAAGGGGGAGTTAGTCTTTGGGGTTAGGCCCTTTTTGTTGTATCACAGAAGTGGATTCCATTTCCCACAGCCCTGCTTTGAAGCCTCTACTCGAGCCATCTACTTTCGCCCAACATGCTCACTTGAGGCCCCAATAGAAGCAACGCTCACCCATGTCCCATGTACGTGTGGGTGGGCAATAGATAACATTTGTAGGCAACAGCTTCAAATACCCCGTGGACACCCCCGTATTAATTAACAAACTGGGGTGTATTGTTTCGGGGTCAACGGTGCTACATTCTCGCAAGTGTTGGGGCAAACCGCAGAACAGGGCTAGGGATCATTTCCATGGCTATCACTTTGAAGTGGGTTTCCTTGATATCACACAAACACGCCCTTAAAACCGATACTCCATGCAAAGACCCCGAATTCGTCAAACGAGTGTGCCTTGCTCGAATCTCGGTCCGCTGTCCTTGTGGGCGTCCAAAGGGGTGTGCAGGTTGGTGGCATAACAGGCCCTCAGGCCAGGCATTCGCAGCAGCCTGCACGGGCCCCTTCCCGGACACATGAACCTTCCATCGTTGAGAAGGCCTTCAAGGTGAGTGATGTCAATCCCCACAACGCTAAACAGTCCTGGGTAACCCACCCAAAACGCATGGCCATTCTAAAGCCACCCCAACCCCCACCCCTAACCCACAGACCAAACGACAACTGCAGTCAAATCAAAAGCGACCCTAAACCCAGCCAAGAAGCCACCCAGCCCACCCAACCCCACCCCCCTCCCCACCGCGCCGCCACGCCCACCCCACCCACCCTGACCTCCAGCCTGGTTTGCCAGGTTCGAGTCATAGGCGCATCGGAGCCAGCAGTGACCAGCACAAAGGGCACCGTGGCTCTAGTGCCAATAAGCTTCGTGAACCTCAAATAAAGCGCCGCTTCCAACCAAAACCCAGGAAAAAGCTTCTAGCAGATCGAAATTGGCTGTAAGGGAAGCGTGTTCCCCTTGAAGTTTTGGAGAGAATCTAAATGGTTTACGATTCGCTCTCCCCACACTGGCTTCGGCTATCCTTTCAACTTCCCTTAAAAACCTACCAAAACGGGCAAAGGGGGTCCAACCAAGTGGGAAGACGGGTGATGTTGAGGGATCCTGTGGTGGACAGTGCCAGGTAGGGATTTGACTCTGATCAAGTAGTGTACAGCTACAAAAGAGGGCCCAACTGTGTGGGGTGCCCCTGAAATTGGAGTTGGACACAATGCTCACGTCAACTGACCCAGGGCTAGTAACCCTGCTCCAAAGTGATGCAGGGAAACCACCCTACAATGTTGAGGGTCGCTCGCTCTTGAAAAGCGAAAGCATGATCGCTCCAACGATTGGCTGGTGGGCCCGTGTTGAGAATACTGTTTTGTGGGGGGGGGGGGGGGTTCCAGGGAGTCAACAGGAACACTCTTTCTTTTCTTCTTGGAGGGGCTGTTTTGACACGAGTCGCTGGGATGACCACTACCAGCTCAATTCGGACATTGTTCTGGGTTTCCTGTCTCAATATGGCCCCTTACTAAAACACCTTACTGATGGCTTCTTTCACGGCTTATCCTGGCCTTATCTAGAGATGAACTGCACAACTGAACCCAGGGCTATTTGTGTTGAACCATACTAGACCATGTTGGCAGAGATCTGAGTGGATTCCCAAACATGGTTCACCCCACCCATAAACCAGAATCCATATCTAAATGGTCATTGCGGTTTCCTTCCATTTTCCTAATCCCCCATACATGTTTTCTTTTTCCAGTAGTGAGACATCCCCATTTGAAACCCAAAAGGGAAGCTAAAAAATACTCATTTCAGCAAATGGAAGTCTCTTGAAGCCTGCACCCTGGACTCCGGACTGCCGCGGGATGGCCAAGATCCCCGCTTCAGAGTTGGCTTTTTGCCACCCAATACACCCCGGCCATCTGTACCACTCCTACCGTTTTTTGGGCGGTGTTGGCTTGGCGCCCAACATGTCAAAAGGGAAAATGAAGCACATGAGAAAAGGGGGACACAAGTGCATTGAGTACTCTAATACTCTTGGTACGGGCTTGCAAACAACCGACTGTTGTTTGCAGCACCCCCGGACAAAAATGGACAGCACCAAAAACATCAAGAACAAAATACAACTTGGGCCCGGCCCAAGTAAACATGCACAGAACCAGACTATGTGCATTATTTCTTCAAAGAACAAGCACTTGCCAAGAACAGTGAAGACTACGTCTGGCATCATGAATTTTAACCGAGAGATTTGGAGGCACCTTCCCCAAACCGATCAGCCAAAGCAGCTCCTCCACGTAGCGGGTCTCAACAAAGGCCACCTCAGCGCCACATGCCACATGGTCATGGGGGGAAACAAAAACACATGGTTTGCGCAAGGGGTCAAACCGAAAGCTCATGATGATGATGATGATGATGATGATGATGATGATGATGATGATGATGATGATGATGGTGATGATGATGGTGGTGCTGCTGGTGGTGCTGCTGCTGGTGGTGATGCCGGTGATGGAGGTGGTGCTGGTGGTGCTGGTGAGGATGATGGTGAGCCGCGGACCCGTGAATATATGTGCATACATATAGTAAATGCATAATGGGTACACCATGGAGTTATCATGCTGGATTTGTTTAAAAGGGTTACTTAGAAGCCAGTTGGACAAATATGGAGCTGCTCAATCACCATCTATTCGTCACTTGATAAGTGAAACATGCTCCGAAGTCGCGGAAACACTCCCAAGGCAACTTGGGAAACGCAGCGCGAGGTTCATTCTCTACAACTCTTGGTATGGTAGCAACAAACTGTGCTGTTGCTGCCCCCAGGAAAACAAATGAGCACAACCTAAAACCTAAAAAACCAGAGGTGAAGCATTTTAAGTGCATTTGTGTCTGAGTTGGGAACCGTGAGTGCCAGGTGCCTCGCGGCGATTCCATGAACACCTCTTTGTCAGCTTCTGACAGCCCAACCTGAGGGCTTCCGGGTTGAACCCAGCAAAAAGGATTTGGCTGAAATCCGGGATGGCCAATGGGTGCGCCGCCTCTGCTAGGTCCTCCAGTAGAGAGGTTAGAATAAGGCTACCCGAAGTCTGTTTTAGTAGGAATCCCTCCCAACCAACAAAGGGGTGAGAGAAGGGCACTACTGGGGGACCTAGATACCCTCCCACCAACTCACAAAGCGCCTGACACGGGGTCCCTTTCAAAGGAAAGTCTTCCAGCACCCCCCAAACGTCAGGTTCCATGTTAATTGCTTTAGTAGGGGAACCCTCCCAACCAAAAAGGGCTCCAAGGGCACTACTGGACCTAGGCTAGAACAGGTTGAAACCCAAAACGGTTCCCCACAGATCCGCCGTGGGGATGGCCCCCGCTGTCAGCCGCGCGGCCGTGGGCTGCTGTGCCGTCAGCAGCTCTTGGGCCAAGGTGTGGGGAAGCCGCTGGGCGGCCGCCCTGCGGGGAGGAGGAAGCGGAGGGGTTCGCAGACATACTGTGGATGGACGAAATCCATTTCGCACCACCGAAGAAACCCTGGAATGATGAATCCCCTGAAATGGAACAAAACCCATGTAAGCCAGTGCCATCTATGAGGAGGAAGAGGAGAAGGAGTAAATTTGGTAAATGGAACAAAACCCATCTTTTGTTATCCAGGCTCACCTAAAAAGAACACCTATGTTTGCAGAGGGTACCCTTCCAATGATATGGCACCTGAGAGGGGTCCCTCCAAGAGGTTCCAGAGGAGGAGGAGGAGGAGGAGGAAGGAGGAGGAGGAGGAGGGGTTTGCAGAGTTTGTGTTCATTAGCATTTCTCGGTTTCTTTCTGCTCCCCTGCTAAAAGTGAATAACTTGTCGTGGTTTAATGGAAAACCCATTAGTGAGGAGGCAGAGGGTTTGCAGAGTGTACCTTTCCACTAGTATGGCACCTGAGAGGGGTCCCTCCAAGAGGTTCCAGGTACCCTCCCACAGTGGGATCCTTACATTATACACCTGAACATTGCCTCGTAAATGGTGGTTCCCCTTTAATTTGGTGGAAAATACCATGTTTGAAATGGGCAAAATGAGCCCTGCCACAGTTGCTATGTTAGTGGGAGAGGGCACTTGAAGATTGCCACTACCTTCACGACTTGTCGATTTTGTAGGTGGGCAACATCCCAGCTAGTGGTTCGTTGCGAAAAAGGGGGTTCCTTGGTACTAGACATGAGGTCTTTCAGTGGGACCTTCCGAAATTCGGACCCATGATGACTCAACCTGGGTTGCTTCCATTGGCTTACGCCCCCTGCAAAAGATATAATTGTGTCGATGATAAATCAACATTTGCAAAACATCCTTATGTACTGCTTTGAAGAAAGCTACAAAGCATCCTTGAAATGACTCGGCATTATTTGTTTGATGGTGCATTTGAGGTTTGCTTGAAGAAACAACAAAAACCATCTTGGTGATCCTTGTCATACAAACCCATCCAAGGCCAAAGAAGGAAGTTACACAAAACACAAAGAAACGCAAGGGCTTGAGCTGGATTCTGTCCACAAGCAAGCCACGGGTCGCGCTGTGCCGACCGGGCCCACCAACGCCCTCAACGCCCTCGGCATTGCTGGGCCACTTTGCGGCTTTGAAAATATGGACGTCTCTCTGCCGAGTCAGGGACCTTCAAGCTTCGAATTCAAACATGCGCCTCCAATCGGCGCGTCAGCGTCCGGCTCCCTCCTTCAATTGGCTCCGAGTCCGGCCCTTGGCCCCAACCACCAGCTATCCGTACGACGTGTAGCACATCTGGTTTTCTGCGGACGCCTTCAAAGCCTGCCGCACTTCCGCTGAGCCACAATCAAAACCCGGTATTAAAATGGTCTACCCAGAACCATCCTTCAAGAATTAAGAAGCCGGATTCTCGATAACAAAAAATATGTCCCTTACTAACCGGATCATCAATCTTCGGGTTTCGAGCAAGCTCAGCTGAGCTGGTCGCGCGGGTCGCGCGCGGCTTTCTCTCCGCGCCTGGAATCCTTGGTCCAGGGCCGGGAGGCACAGCGCCAGAAGTCCGAGCGCGCCAGGTACCTCCAGCCGGGCGAATCCGAAAGCGGCCGGGGGGGGGATTTTGGATTTTGGAGTCAGGGAGAGTTTTTGTGTTTTTTTTTCCCGCGGAAGTGCCCTGAATCCCCCGTGTCCAATCAACACCACCAAGAAAGTAAGATGAAGTGAAACCCAAAAAAGGTAGATGAAACCCAAGAAAGTTCTAGAAACAGAGTAGAAGTTAAGATGAAACCCAAGAAAGGTCGTCGCACAAAGATTATGGGAATGCTACTGATGGCGGCCCAAAGGAGGTATCCTATCCATGTTGCTTCCTACTTTCGAAATCTGGGATTCCCATCCTTCGAAAATTACAATGGAACCCAAGAAGGAGCCCTCAAAAAGAAGATTCTTACAAAGGCTTCTTGCCGCTTGGTGCATTCTAGGTGAACCTCGGGAGTACCGGCAATTCAATTGTGGGACAGAGTGATGTGCCAGGAAGGCGACACATGATCACAGGCCCACAGCGTCCATGCAAAACAAAAATGCCTCTTGCTCGGTGGCTTGTATACTCACTTCCCAAGTTGACTGGCCAAAAAAAGTCTGAACTTTTTATTTACCACTAAAATGGTCTTTCCAAAAAGTTTAAAGTCCATGAACTCAGGAGGTGAGTATTTAAAGGGGCCTACTTGGATGTTCGATTCGCCAAGTTACTAAGTGGTAAGCCAAATGAGATGTAACTAACTAATGACTGGGTTAACCCCACTTAAGGAGGCCAGTGAGTAGATGATCTAGGTCGCCAACAACTTACTCACTTCGCGAATCGAACACCCAAGTACCCCCTCCGAAGAAAAGAAGGAAGCATCCGACTGGGGGGGGTTAGGCGGATACCGGTAGAGTTCAGGGACACCAAGAAGCAGTTTCAGGTTTCTATCGCAAATGTTTCTTGCCTGAGCAAACCCAGGGTCAAGGGAGGACCCGCAGTGTATATTCCCTTCATAAGTGGCATGTGTATGTTACCTCCATACTCGAACACCCATATAAACCCATAACTGAAATTACCCTTGACAGGGATTCGTCTTGAAAGCTAATCTGCTAAACATATGCCATGAAACAGGGGACAACAATAACGCACCTATTCGTCCCCCTGAATCAAAACCTTGCATTCAGATTGAATCTAACATCCATGGGTTTTGGCCCTAAAGACTTAAGCCCATGTCAGGACTGAGCCCTTGTGACTCCGCCAGACTGAGATCCGCGGCAAGCAGGCAAGTTGCTCTCCTGCAGATTCACATGGACCCCCCCCGCCCCAAAACAATCCATGGTCAGAGGCATCTTCGCGTTTGGCATAGTGAGTGGTTAGTAAACCTGGTTATAATTCACTGAGCGGAGACTTAGAACCATGGCTTTTGTGGGTTATAGTCATGGTTCTTACCCACCTACTACGCACTTCCCGAGTGAACTGGAAAAAAAGTCCAAACCTTTTGTTTGCCGCTAAAGTGGTCCAAACCCAAAAAGTGAAAGTCCATGAACTCGGGGAGTGAGACGAAGTACCCGATCGAAACCCCCGTCGGCACGTTGCGGAGGCGATCAACGTAAGGGAGCGAAAGCGCGTGCTCAGTTGATGCCTCGATACCAGAGCAGCGGAGCCACGAAGCCCCACGTGGCGATGAACAAATACATGCCTCTTCTTTCAGTTGGTTGATTTTAAAGGGGCCTACTTGGAGGATCGATTTGTGAGATGTAACCCACTGATTGGGTTAACCTCAAGGAGGCCTACGTATGCCAAGCAAACATTCGGTCTTACGTGCAAAAGTTGACGGGTCAAAGAATGACACTCAACACGACCTTATGACATATATAGGCTCACTCACTTCTCGAGTGGATTGGCCAAAAACAGTGACCACGCTTTCTGTTTACCACTAAAATGGTCTTCCCAACAAGTGACTAAAGTCCAGGAACCTTGGTAGTGAGTAAGGGTGTTTCCCAAAATCGGAGTCGGCCCACAAATGGTTGGCCTCCTTGCGGCATTCCATGAAGTCCGAACCAACCGGGGGTCTAGCATTGCGATCCCTATGGAGTCTGGACATGTTTCCTCCAACTCCAAAGAAGATAAATACAACGTTACCAATTCGCATGGAAGGCAATATTGGGTTTGACTTTGTGAGGGTACCCTTTTTTTTGTGGTGATCAAACGGGCACCAACAAAAAAAACATCATTTGGGGGGTCTCCCAAACAAAACGTCACAGCTACATCACGAAGTTCATCAAAGCCGTGTCAGCGGCCTGTAAAACAAATCGTTGGCTGCAAGGTAGACTGCGTCTCTTGCTTCGCAATAAAGTTGAAATTCTGACTTCCTGAGTGGCGAAACATGTGAACACTTTGTCTTCACCACATCCTGCTGTGAGTCAGCTAAATGAGACATCAACACCTGGTATTGAAATGGCTTCAGGAATCAAAAAGGTGGCTGCAACATTTCTGGTCGGGGCAATCCCTGACCATTTTTGTTCATCTGCCCAGCTTTCAGCAGGTGGCTCAAATCGATTTGTTGAGTTGGGAAACCTGCTTGACAGGTGTCCCTTTAGCTTCAAAAGCATCCGAAAACCCGCCACGCCACCATTTAACACAAGATGCAACAAACACACCAAATCAAATCCACCTTCTGGCTAACCAGTCCTCCTTTTTCAGCTTGTTTTAACGGAAAAGCCCGGCTTTCCATCGGGAAACCAAAGGTTTCGCCCAAAAAGAGTTGCGCCCTTGCCACGTTTGGCGTACTTGGATGTTCATCCTACGTCATGTCGCAAGACAGCTATTGGCAGACTTGCCACCATGGCTATACCCTTGATTGCTGTTGACCCCTCTGCAAAAAACAACAACTTTTGTTGGGTCCAGACAACTCACTGCTTCCCAAAAAGATGAGGTTCAAAGATCCGTTGCCAAATAGCAATACGTTTTTTTGTTTGCAGTCTCCCAGTAAACATGAACAGAACCGACAAGCAAACACAGCAAAACACTTGCCAAGCACAGTGAAGTCCACTAGGGCAACTATTGGAAGGGCGCACGCACGCTCTTTGCCAAAGCCACATCCAGGTATCAGCCTCCGACGCAATTGCCCTCCGGCATGAGACGCGCAAGGCAACCTGGCAAGGCCCGTCACCATCACGGAACCAAAACCATGGGGCTCCTCAAAAGGAGAAATTCCTGTTACAATTAGCGTGCTGGCAAGGAGGAGTGGTGTTGACCTGCGGAGTATGTGCTCAAATTTGGTCAAACTAGCACAATGGCTTTGTCCGTCTGCAGAATGTGGACATCAGCATGCGGGGGTGCTCAAAGCATGATCCACATCTAATGGAGAACGACCACCTGAATGGCGACTGGCACCAATTTTCTCCCTGGCAAATTTACACAAGATGAGCTTTCTCTGAAAACTACGTTTGTTTCTCCGCGGCAAACTAACACCAAAGTAAACCGCGCGAATAACCTTCTCGCTGGTGCACTGTAACACTTTGCCATCGAACTGAAGGGTAAGGTCGAGCAACAAATCACGTGGCCAACGCCTAAACATTTACCTAGGATTTAAGTACTGTGGATGGACGAGATCGGATCGCACCAATTCGAAACCACGGGAAACCCTTGCTTATTGATACTTCCCGGGGAATTATCATGGTCTAGGTCCTCCAGCAGAGAGGTTAGAATAAGGGTACCCTTTTTTTCTGTAGTCAATTTTAGGGGAACCCTCCCCCAAAAAAGGGGAAAGAAAGGGCACTACTGGGGGTGGTAGTGCGAAATGGACTCAGTCCATCCACATGTAGCCGCGGGGAAAAATGGGTACCCAAAATTCAACCCTAATAAATGGAAATGTGAACTAAAATCTGCGGTCCCCTGCTTGGTTAATTTTGACCCGCAGCCATGTCTCTTTAGTCAAGGGCAAATGTTCAATTGTTACGGGAGGTGGACCCAGCACCTTGTAATTAGCTGGCGGAGGTCTACGCAAAAAGTGAAAATTCATGTTGCTAGTGGGGAAAGTGCACATGTTCTAAAACAATAGCTACCTAAAACAACATGGCATGCTTGATTAGGCCCAGACATAGAATGTATATTTTCTGGTTTGCTTCAATTTGAGACACTGGTAAAATGTAAAATGTCTCCTAAGTCTACCCCAGATGGTGCTTGGAACTATTCTCCTTTACGTGAATTGCTGTCGTCAGTTCCGCAATAGCCGGGAGCCAAACCGATAAAGTCGACTGGCTCTTCGGTGTTTGGTGTCGGGCAACCCATGTGCGGTACAGGTTTCAAAGGAACACCGAATTATTCTTGGAGTTGTTTTCCTGAAACAAAAAACACCCATGCCTCATGAGGTATCCTCTTTTTTCGTAAACGTTGGCCAACCCCAAGGTTTATGATCCACACGAATTTGGCAGCTTGGAGACACCTGACTTGGTTTGGTTTAAGTTCACCCTATCCCGTTCGCATGGCCCTCCCAGCCAAATTCTAAGGGTTGATTTTCCAGGGTTTGGCTTGAACCCTCCTCCTAGAAGGTACCTCTGGGTCATAGGTCGGCCTGGCATCCGGCAGGCCGCGCTCCAAAGCTTGGTGCCAGGGTCAAGCGCATGGCTGCTTGCCCATTCGAATCTCTCGCGCCGCGCGCGATAACGCACCCTGCGAAGAATTCGCCAAAAGCTGATTTCAGGGATCCCCAAGAAAAGGATGTTTATCTTGGTTGCTTTCTGCTCCCCTGCTAAAAGTTTAACTTTAGTGGTTTAATGGAAAACCCATTAGTTGGGAAAAGCTTAAAGTCCTATCATCCAATGCAAAATGCACCAAAGTTGTATCATGGTGAACCCGTTCTGCCAGGCGAGCTCGCTACAAACTAGGTAGACAATGGTTTTTTCCAGCCCCCAACTTGCCCGCCGCTGTCCAAAATCCCTTGACATCCAAACAGCCGCTGGGACCGGGTTTAAGGGTTTGCTGTTCTCCCAGCTGAACGCTTTGGGGTCGATGCAGAGATTGGATTCGAGCGGCTCCGGGCTTCCTCAAGGGTTGCTTGTTTAATACCGGATATGGGTCTCTTTTTTTTGGGGGGATCCCTTGTTTGTGGTTTTTGAAAGGAAGCCCAAAGGCACACCAACCATTTGTGGGTCCTCTCTAAGACACACCCATATCTCTGGAAGGTAGCAGAGTTCCCAGGCTGCGTGGGCAAACACGCACCTGCCCAAAGGTTACGATCCGTTAAGCTCGACTTCCCGTTTCCGAGCACCCAACCACATCCTGGAACGAAACCAGAAACTGGCTCTAAGTGAGGCTTCTGTGTACATGTTGGTTGAGATTTACTGTGAACACCTGAGCAAACAAATTCGCCGCATCTTGGTGTGGAACAACAAGCGGGTTCGAGCAAACAAAGCTGCATCAAGAATCCAGAAGCTCTTGCCCATTGGCCGGTGAAAATGCAACTTGAACATTGTCATCGCTGGCTTCTGCCTGCATGTTTGCTTTGTCACTGCCGCTGTTGCTGTTGGTGGTTGTGGCTGCTGACTGATTTTACGGGTGAACCTATTCTCCAAGCCGCCAAGGCTCAGCATGCGGGGGTCCAGTGTAGCAAGCCCGTCTCAGACCAATGCCGAGGTGTCAGTGAGTCAGTGTCCACTTAAGGAAAATAAACAAAACAATAAGCTGGCCCTTGGAGACGTAGTAAAATCAAAGCCTCAGCCGCATAAAAAGCGCACGATGCACGGCCTCGATTCATGAACAAGAGAAAACATGCCACCATGATGCAAACGTCGCTGTGAATGTGGTTCAATGTAGAAGGACATCGTGAGTTGTGACAGTTGCGAGATCAACTTTGCAACATGACCGCCCGACTGTGTACCCTTGTGGCCTTTTCCTGGTTGAAACACATGCACAAAGAACGTCCTATTATCTGTCCTATTCATCCGGGCACAGTTAAACTGCAGCTTGGCCTACGATCATGATACTAGTATGGCTGTTTAAGTTAGTTTGAGCTTGGTTTCCCAAGAGCAACACCCGTTTAAGGTCACAACCACTGAACAAAACGGCATCCCTTGGCCACACAATGCCACGCAGAAAGCGGCAAGCACAAGCCAACCATCTTCCATGCCCGCCTTTGCAGGTGATAAAGACGACATGTTGCTACGGCAACAATGACCCCAACAACTCGCTACTAGTACAGAGAACCCAACCAGCAAGTTGTGAACATGTGCTAGGTAGGTAACCAAGGAACCAGCCTTTGCCTCCATTTGCTTAAATCCCCTGGACAAAAAACAAATCTGTGTTTTAGCGATAGATTCCTGTTCAAACCAACAGGGGAGAAAACATATCCTTCAGCAATTGAACAAACACGCTGCCCTAAGGGTCCCGACTGTTTTTGGGCCCTCCAAATGCCCTTGAGGGGTCGGGGTTCTCCGGGGGTCTGCATTGGAGGGGTCATGACCCTTAGGGGACCCACTGGCAAACGTTTTGCCTGAAAAAGACGGTTCCGAAGATCCGAACAGCAACTGGGCTGTCGGGCTATGGGCGATGCCTGGGCGAATGCCTCGGAAACGAAACAAACAACCAAATCGACACCTCAGATGTGGATTTCCATGGGAAAAACAGTGGCCTTCAAGGGGCATCTGTTTTTCTCGGTTGCTTTTCTGCTCCCCTGCTAAAGTGTTTTTTTTTAGTTGTTTAATGGAAAACCCGTTAGTTGGCAAAAAGTCAAAGTCCTAACATTCAAGCAAAATGCAACAAGGTTTTGTTGGTTGACTTTAAAGGAATCGGAACCCTTTCCCAACAAAAGCTGAACAACGAGCACCACTGGGCAACAAAACCGACACAGCGGCTGGCGCTCGGGATCCCGAGGCCTGATCTGCCAAACAGCTGCCGCGTGTTTTTTTTTGCTTCGGCCCGACCACTTTCTGGACTTGGCAATCGGCGTCCCATAGATTGGAGTTGGTCTTCTTTTTTGGGACCCCAATGATGGTGTCCCTTTTGTTTCCCTGAAACCCACCAAGGGGCATCCTCCCAAAAACATAATTTCCAACCCATTTGGGACCTGTGTGGTTGCTGAAATTGAAAGCAAAGGTTTGTATCGACCCCCTGACCTCAAAACGCAAGAAGCGCGGAGCCCGTTGAGTTGATTTCGGCGAGCTCCATCACGTTGGCTGTCACTGTTGCCCTTCAGCACTTGCTCTGTGGTTGAGCTCCAACACAACCGACCTTCGAAGCCGAAAGCAACACGTGCAATGTCTTCTCTCTCAAGCCAAAGGCGAAAACAAGCAAGGCGTTGGAGAAAAGGGATAAGCAAAAAGGGGGGGAAAACACGAGTTTTAGGTTCATTACAAAACATTATAAGCATGTCATTGTCCAAAAACAAAACAACAACTCTACATTGCGTCCTCACGCCAGACCTGACACTCAAACAGCTCTCAGCTTTTCATCCAAGAAAATCAACATCTGTAGGGTCCATAATATGGTGGGAACATCGTGAACGGTTCACTTGTCACGTCAAACAACCATAGAAATCACGTCACAGCGAGTGTGAGCATGTCAAACTTGAGACCTGTTTCAAGCTAACAATCTTACAAACATGTTGTGACCGTTTATCAGCCCAAATCCGGAAGAGCTCGCAAGCATCTAGGAATCTTGGGGTACCTGCTTGATTTGGGAATCCTTCTTTTTGGAAAATAGGCAAAGACAAGTTCGGAAACGGCTGGCTGCTGAGAATAACGCTGGTTGCAAAGAATGGGAAAGGAATCAACCTCTAGACCATTTTTTAAACAACCTCCTTCCAGCCCCCCCCAACAACAGTACTTGGGATTTGGAACATGGGAAAAAAGCGGTTGTTGGGAGGTGCTGGTTAGGGTTGCCCTTTAAACTGAAGCAGGGCCTGCTTCAAACCGAGCCTTGCGAAGCACGAAGCCTCAAATAAGAACCAGGGAGATTCGCGAAATGGACCCTTTGGCTTTGTGTTGCACGGGAAACCATTCACAGCAACGGGTGATTTCGAGGACCCCCCGATTTTTCGAGAACCCCCCCATACCTCTTGGGAAACATGGGGGGGTTTCAAGGACACCAAGCCAAGACTTTCAAACACCGGCGGCTCCGCATCCCCCCGCCCCCGCGGTCGCGGTTTCTCAGGTCCGGGCCGAGGCGCAACCTCGATTCGATGCCGAGATGCGGCTGTGCGCACGCGTGCGTATTTCTCTATTTTGACACACAAACTTGATGCTTCCCCCAAAAGGACATGGGAGCTGTTGTGTGAACTCTTGACTTTGGGACCACTCTGCTGGGCTGTCCGTTTGCAGATCTGCGAAAAGTTGAGGAACCTGCTCGTGGGTTGAATGGAAATCCAACCACTAAACACTAAGCTGAGAACTTGAATGGCTGGGAGCCGCCAAGTCCGGCATGCAGCACGTTTGGGTCCCAACCTCCAGCTTATTTGTTCATCCCGTGCGGGAAAAAAGAGCAAGTATTTCCAGTGACACATCCCCTCTTTAAACCAAGAGGGGCAAACAAAACATATTCTTCGGCAAATGGAAGTAAATGTGTCCAATAACCAGCACCCCCAAACTGATGTGCTTCTTGTCCCTGTCCCAAGTCCCCGCTACTGTCCACGAAGCAGTTGTTGGAGGGTGCTGGAATCTGATTGGGTCGAGAGAAGCAAAAGGGGCTGTTTCCAACAAGCCTCCAGCTGGCAAGCAAAAACAACTGGTCTTGCTGATGACTGCGAATGCGGCTGCCAGTTGGAAGAACTGCAAATGGGCTTGTCTTTTTTGAGGGTACACTTTTGTGGTGGGCTTTAAGAGGAAACCAACAGCAAAAAATTCAGTTTGGGGTGCCCCGAAAAAGCACACTTCGGATAGCTGCAGTAAGCAGCTTTCTCCATCCAACGACATTGGACTTTGCTGAGCAACCCCCACTTGGCCCACCCCAGTGGCTTCGAAAGGGTCCCTTCGGATGGGTTCTCCCTGCTCCACACACATGACTGTCCTGTGCAAGCAATTGACCAAAGGACCTGATACATCTTGGTGCGAGAGATGCAGGGAATGAGAATTGGAACCCCCAGAGAAAACCATCCAACTGGTGGCTGCCTGTGGCTGGAATCCCCAAACGGTTCATTCCCAGCAGCCGGACTCGGTCATTGCATACCTATCGCACCAGCAAGTTACGTTATTTTCTCGGGTGGCAAGCCCTTGGTTTGCTACAAAACTCGCTTGCTTTCTGCTCCCCTGCTAAAAGTGTTTAACTTTTAGCGGTTTAATACGGAAATCCCATTAGTTGGCAAAAAGTTCTCAAGTCCTAACATCCCTTGGCAACATGCGCCAAAGAAAAGCAGGCAACTGGGAAACGTCACATCGGCGCAAACTATTGCAGTCCTCAGACATTGGAGCGAGCCATGCAAACCAAAGTCTTTGTTTGGAACCTGCCAAGGCTCTTAGGGAAGATAGGAAAGCGCCTGCCCTAAGGGTCCCGACGGGTTTTGGGCCCAAATGGGTTGTTGTTGAAGGCCCTTGAGGAATTGGTCGGGGTTCTCCATTGGAGGGTCCGGGGGTCTGCATTGGAGGGGTCATGACCCTTCGGGTGGGTTGCTTCGAATGTCTTGCCAAGATAAGCAGGTCTTGGTGACAAGCCATGGTTGGTCGAACTGGTTCAGACACAATTTGGGAATG